TGACGTAAAAAGGAAGATAACTCCATTACCAGCCTCTAAGTCGGAGGGAGTTCTGCCCGCGCCGCCGGGAGAGGCCGCGGATGAGCGGGAGCCCCCGGGCCGCCCCGTCGATGTTCAGCACCACGGACAGCGCCCGGCTCGGCGCGCCCCGCGCTGCCGCCCACCCGGCCCTGGGGCTCCGCGCCGCCCCGTCGGATTATTGATATTGGGCTTTTTCTTTTTCATGCACACTGCCCTCCTGCCCGCAGTGCCTCTACCTTCATCTCTCTCGTTTGGTGCGGTAACTTGTAGCCAGAGCTGTCTTGTCGCTTGGACCAGCCGGCATTTATCCCCTCTCTCCGCCGTTCTCTGTTTTCAATCAATCCCGTGCCGTCAGCCCTGACGTCCCCCCCTCCTCCCTTCCAGCGAGTGCCACTTTGTCAACACTGGGCTGCGGCCGCCCGGGGCTGCGGGATGGGGCGGTTATGGGGTCTCTGCCCCAAGCGGGTCTGTTCCAGCGGCTCCGGAGGAGCCCCCGCACCACCGGCACGGGGCGACGGACGGGGTGACCGCCGTGGGGCCGGGGCAGAGCTCTCCACGCTTGGATCCGCGGTTCTCTCACCTCCCCCCCGCACCCCGGGATGCTCCGAGCCGCTCTCCCAGGGCGGTGAGGTGGCAGAGCGGGGCGGCGCTTTCCCCACACCCCAGAACGCTTCATCCCCTCTGCACCCCCTCGGAGCCGTGCGGGCACTCACCGGGCGCAAAGGGCAGCGGCGGGCTCTGCTGCGGGGCCTCCGCGGGCGGGCAGCCCGGCGGGGTCGGCTGCGGTGCTGCAGGCGGCGGGGGGGCTGCGCTGGGCACCGGCGGCCCCGGCTCCCGGCCGCACACGCAGGGCGGAGGGAGGAGGGAGGGATGGAGGAGGGAGGGATGGAGGAGGGCGCTGCAGCTCCTCAATTATTTAGCGCTCCCCCTCTCCCCGCCTGCCGCATGTGACCGGAGCGGCAATAGCACCGCGCCGTGCACTGCTGGGCATCCTGCCGGCCGCAGCACGGCCACCAGCGCCGGCTGCCATCCCGCCGTCCCCATCCATCTGCCCGCTCAGGTGTCCCGATGGCTGCAGCCCGCCCGCCCCCAGCGGCCTCCTCCGAGGATGGGTTTCGTCACCCCGCAGCCAGAGGGAGGGGGACGCTCCCCCTCTGCTTTCTGCCTGAGCCGCGCAGTGAGATTTGGGTGCTAATACTGTAATCCCGGAACAGGCAGAATTAAGACTTAAATGAAATGCTTCATGTATTGCAGCACGCCGTGTTGCCCAGCCTATCTGGGAGGAGTTAGATAGCAGGTGCAGGATGTATTTTATGTTTTATATCCATAAATGCTTTTGAGAATAGCAATGCTTCACGGTCAGGATTATTCTCGTTTTCCCATTCTGTTTTTAATTCTAGATTCTTGCTGTTTGCTTCCCTCCAGAAAAGCTCCTTTCTGTATCTATCTGTATTACCATCTCACAAGCAAACTCAAAAGGGTTTCATCTCCAGGGATGTTTGGGGAGGATCGTATTTCAGTCTCCATTACAGCGTCATGCTATAACCCCTAATGTGACCCATTCCCAGCTGCATGGTGTGCCCTGAAGCTATTCATTCTCTAACCACAGAAAAAAATGTCTGCTGGTAACAACTGAAAGAGATCCTTCAGCCCCCATTCTGTTTGAGAAATCAGTGCCTGTGAGTGACCCAACAAAAACCACATCACTGGAGCTGACCTTCTGGGGACCTATGAGCTGCAACACCGTGCGGAGGAGCCCTGCTGGGATGTGCATGGTCCCGGCTTTGTGCAAGGCAGCAGACCACTGCCATCTTTGAATCCCTTTCTAGCCCCATTTCCATGGCTTTAAAGATGACTGCCATAGTTTTCCTGGTTTCTTACCAGGCTCCTTCCTCTCTTCATCAATGGTGTCACTGTCAGCCCCCCAGACAACCTGCCACCACCCCAAGCAGTAAGGGGAGCAAAGTGCTGTGCCTGAGGCTTGCTTCAGCTCTCTCTCATTAATCCTTCCTCTGTTCTCATGAGTTTTGTTACTTCCAATCTTGCAGGAAGATGAATTTCTAAAGCTGTCTCTCTAGTGGTACTCTTCAATTTGATTAAATGCATCTGTCATGTGGACAAAAAGCTGGACGAGGCCGAGGTACCCTCCAGACAAGTCTTATCACTGAGGTCACCCTCATGTCAGGGTGAAATTGCCCATAACAGTCAGGCACACGACAATGCTTTTGTGGCAGAATGTCTGTTCTCCCCAGGCACTGAGTAGTTTCTATACCACGATGATTTCTGCTCATTTTCCCAAAACAGCACGTGGCTGGCTGACCAGTCATTCAAATGCTTAATCCTATTTTGAATTTGAATCAGGCTTTGGCCTCAGTAATGTCTAACAGAGAGAATCTCTAAACCTTTCCAGAAATAAAAGTTTCCTCTCTATCTCCTTTATTTCACTGAGCTTTTTGCAGTGATGTTCTTTAATGTCTTGCCATCATCAGGACTGGTTTCAGAAGAGATTGCCTGGGTGTCCCTTGGACTGAGTGAGCTCCTAACCTGTGCTGTTGGGCATCCCATCACATCCTGTAAATCTTTTTCTAAACAGTTTCTGCTGAAAAAGGCAGTTTCCACAGGACTGTCCTTTTGTTGGTTTTGCAAAGATCCATTGACTCAAGTTATGCTTCAAAGAAAAAACTATTTGAAGCAAATTTGTAGAACTATCTAGTTGTAGAAATAATATCACATTCCAATCAGAAATCACATTTAGCCAGAAAGCTGGGCCCCCTTCTTTCTTCCTTTTGCATCAGCTGAAAGCTCAGGGAGTTCCCTGCAGGGGTCAAAGAGATTTGGCATTAGTATGGAAGGATAAGAAGAGGCATTAATCTCGCTGTCTCATCTTCTCTTGTGGTATGATGAGAACCAGAGTGAGGAAGGCTCATCCTGTAATTAAGCCCTGACTCGAGACTTGGAATCTTCTTTACAGTTACTGCCTCTTCTACAGGTTTCTGAGTGAACTCCATGGTTTCTTGCAGTCCAAGGCTGGAAAATGAGGATGAAAATGTTGCCTGGAAGCAGGCTGTGTCTTATCTGCACAGAGTGTAATTCCTTTGGGTCAGGGACTGCCTGTGATGTAGCTGAGCCTCCTTTGGGACCCAGAAACGCTCAGAATCATACAATCAAAAACTGGTTTGTATTGGAAGGGACCTTAAAGCCCACCCAGCCCCAACCCCTGCCATGGGCTGGCTGCCCCACCAGCTCAGGCTGCCCAGGGCCCATCCATGGCCTTGGGCACCATCCTCTGAGTGAAAATTCCCCCCCAGCATCCAACCTAAATCTCCCCTCTCTTAATTTAAAGCTAAACCACTGTCTGGAAGGGAAATTCACCATTTGGTTTCATTTCACTTCCCCCAGCCTTTCTTGCTCAGTACCCTCCTCACTGGGCTGAGTGGAGAACACAGGTAACAAATCCATCAGACACATTCCCGGTTTGGATAGAGCATGAAGGAAATCACCATCAGAGCTGTGTGGGGACACAGTGAGACCTTGGGAATGGGCAGTGCAAGAGAGTGTCTCATGGTGGATCTGGCTGCAGATGTGCCTGGGGGAAGCCAGGATAAAAGCTGTTGGCGAGAGGGGATTAAACGATTCAGTGTCTGCAGGCTGCTTAAAGGACCACACACTATTTTTTCCTATTCAAAATGTGCCTTTCAACAACAAACCCAGACAAACAGAAGCATTTGCTGCCATTCAGCTTTCTTTGGGTTTGATGGTAAAGCTTTGGGCATGATGAGTGCAACATGTCCATCCAGGTCACACCATACATCACGTGGAACATGGGACACTGCTGAGGGCCAGCTCCCACTGTCCCAGTGGTGCAGGTGATGGCAGGGTTTAATCTGTTTTCTGATTTTTCAGATTTTTAGACTAATCAGAACCATCACAGTTCATAGATCTTGTGTTTAACGATGTGGCCAGGACAATGTGATATAGAAATTATTAATTTGGATCTTCTCCAAATGGTTTCCTTTGGGGTATTTTAGCATTTGCTTGTCAAATTTCACCCAGAGTCTGTGCCATTTCTGCTTGAACTACAAATAGGGAAAATGAAAGGGATAAGAAGAGGGAAAGGAAAATGAAAAGAGAATGTTACCTTGCAGTTTTAACAGGCAGCTTGGTTTATTCATCTTGCTACCAATGATGGATGGGGTTTTGCCCACACTGGGATTTGCTGAGAGGTTTGTATTTTCATCAGTTTTCACTTTGCATGCAAACGAGATTGTTCATTGTCTGCTGCTGCTTTTGCAAAGAAGCATAAAAAGCTCAAGTGAGGCAAGTGGGCAGCAAAAAGTTGCACATCTGGGATGAGAGCCCACCAACACCCCCAGGCTGACCCTTGGTAGCACCAACAGTTCAGCAGGAGAGCTGAACTCAGCTCAGGAATGGGCAGCACTGCAGGAAAATGAGGACTGTATGGATATGATTGTTTGTTATCACTGGTGTTCCCATTGATCTGCTGTTCCCCAGAGATTTCTTACTGCTGCAGGCAAAGGGCAGAGCCTGGGAAGGGTCAGCCCTGAGGATGAACACATTACCCAGATTAAATTGTATTTTTCTTCAGACTGAATGCAGGTTCTGCAATGGATGAAGCTCAGCTATTTCAGATGGGTCATTCCAGGTCTGTTCTAGCTTCAGATCCTAATTTTGTATCTCAGCTGAAGGACGACGGGCAGAGCCTGCACCTCTCACATTGCCGTGGATTTAATATCTTAATGCAGCCTTGGCTGAACACTGCTCCAAGCAGAACACCTATTGAATTACCCACAGCACATCAGTTGAAATCTCCTGTTTGAGAACCCACAGAGCCTGACCCAGCTCAGCTTTCAGGAGAGGCTGATAAGATCTGAGCTTGTGGTAGCACAGTTTTAGGTTTTAATTGGGTATTCATTAAAGCATTGCCACCCACTTCTCTTGACCATGGGGCTGTGGGGGAAAGAGCTGACCGACACCTGCACCTCTCTCATCTGCACACCTGGGTGCTGGCATTCCCTGCACCATCAGGCAGAGTGGGGAAAGCTGTGTGAATTACTGAGTCCATTAGCAGCCCTCCTTTGCTGCATGGCTGTGAGCTTTCGATGAGAGAACCCCAAAGAGGCTCTGGAAGTCACACGAGAGGGAAGATGAACCAGATGGCTTCTCTGCAAAATTAAGATTGGATTTTAGGTTAGTTTGTGTATTTTCTAGTAACTTAATATAGCCTTCTTTCTGTTTGTCGAGACAAATAAGACAAGTCATTAATATGCACATCGTGGCAGTAAATAGGTTTCAAGCAAGCTTCTGCAGTGCTGGGGGAGGATGATGAGCCAGCTAGTATGCAAAAAGCTTCTGCCCTTACAACATAGGGAGAGGGTTGGGAAGTTGAGAGAGAACATTTTTCCATTAGTGTGTATACAGAAAGGTTAATCAAGGGTTCAAAGCAGATAATGGCACTGCTTCTAATTCAGTTAGGTCTAATGCTAAAAATGCACATTTTTGGGAATGCTTTTTGAGGTCACCCAATTATAGACATGGCGCAGCCCTCGAGATCATCTGGGCAGTGTACAAATGAAATGCTCTTCATGTTGACCCGCTCTGTATCTCTTTTTATTGCTATTCTTCTGGCCCTTTGCAGACTTCTAAACACTGTCTTTTAGAAATTACATTGCCTGGAAAAATCCACTGGGCTTTTCTGCAGAGGAGTTAATGGCTTTTATGAAGAGGTTTACCTAATGTGAGCTGATGTTTTTGGTCTCCTGAAACTGGTGCTGAACAGAGCTGGAAGTGAGCGTTAAAGATGGGCTGGTGCTGTCTCCTCTGTGCTGAGTGTGGGAAAAGGAAGCGTTTTGCTGTGCCCTGCTTTTGAGGATGGTGAAAGTACATTTCAATTAAAAACCAGGAGTAGTGATTGAGTAATTTCTTAATGTGTCCAGTCAGTAAGAGAGAAATGAACGCCTCAATTAGACAAGCTGGATTCATCATTCAGGGAGGACAGTGTCCTGACTGTCCACATAAAACATCATCACATAAAGCAGCATCACTTCTGTCCAAACATGCTCTTGTAATAGGCAATATCTGATGTGTATTTACCTTCTTGGTTTACATGAACAAAGGTAAACAAGGCTCCTGAAGAAGGTGGTTCAACCCCTTTCCTCCTGGCTGGTCTCTCCTCCACCCTTCCTCACCAATGGATTGGACATCTGCAAAGGTCCTCATGGTGTACTGATGGTTGGACTAAGTGATCTTAGTGGACTCTTCCAACGTTAATGATTCTGTGATTCCATGATTCTGTGACTCACTGCCCTGTTCCAGAGCTCGCCCTGACATCCTGAATTCACCATGTCTGATTGCCCTCGTGCTCATTTCCACATCCAGCTTCACCTCTTGATGTGGCATGCAGCAAATGTAATCTTTGAGCTGTGTCTCAAAGACCTGCAGAGCCTGTGGCTGCAGGAGGGGAAGGTGAGGAGGGGTGAATGAATGTCCCTGAGCCTCCCAGGGGACAAGGCACTGCTGCCCAGCCAGGCTGAGGACATTGAGGAATGGCACATGCTGGGAGAATGGGATCACACAGGGGAAAAGTGGTACAGTGCCAGCTGGAGGGGTTAAAAGCAATGCTGTTTTCGGAGCAGACCTGTGGAGTAGGGAGAAATTAAAATGAGTTGTCTATTACTGAGTTTATTGTGCTGATACGTGTTTATTTGGAGTTCAGGATCTGAAGGCAGGCTTGGCTGCTAATTTTAGCACTACTGGATTTCTTGGAGTGTTTTTATTAAACAATTAAGGAGCAGGGAGAGTGGTGCATAATGAAATTTTGCTGTTGGATGGCACACATTGCAGTGCCTATCCCAGCCCACACCAGGACACACCCTTAGGAGAAGATGCTGGGGGTCCCATCTCTCCACTTCCTGCAGAATGTGGTTCTGTATTTCAGGGAATGTCCCCTTTCCTGCAGGCATGGCTCTGAGGTGCATTATACTGAAGCACAGCTGGTGCTGAGCACAGACTGCTCCCAGGTCACTGGCGTTGGCTTGACAACGTGTGTTTTCCTTATTCTTTAAGCAAGAAACCCCAGTGTTGTGTTGATGCAGAACAAGCAGCAATTCATTTGCAACTCCCCAAATGAAGCTAAATTTCTCAGAATAAATTGAACATGAAAGCAGCATCTGAGCAAACCCTGATGGATTGCTCAGTCCTGCTTGGAAACACAGGCATTCAGCTTGAAGATAGCAACTTGCAGCCCCTGCCCACTCTCCCAAGACCCCATTTGTAGCTCTTATTTAAACCAACTCTCCACTTTTTTTCAGGGCTTCATATGATTTACAAGCAGTTGTTTCCTGCTGGCAGCAGATTGTGTGCTTGCAAGGAGGACATTTGAAAAAAGCCAGAAGTGGAGTGACACCAACTGGCACAGCTACCCAGCTCTATGTGAGGACAACAAAGTGGTGCTTAAACAGAAGTGTGCTTTCACATAGTGCAATTAGAGATGTTCTCCCTTATGGTGAGTGATGGTCTGAAGGCAGGTGGCAGGGGATGGGCGAGAAGGGCAGCAGAGACCATGGGCTTTGCCATCACCTGCATGTGGGGATTCCTGTGGTAGGGGAGGAGGTGTGTGCCCAAGTCTGGTACAGAAAGTAAGGGCTGTGCCACCATCCCTGAGGGCATTTCTAGTTGTATCTTCTTTGGTGGGGAGGAGTGCTGGCTCATGCGTATCCGTCAGTGGGTGCCATGTGGCCAAAACCATCAGAGGATATGCACACATGTCGATCAGAGATGGGTTTGTGTTTCTTCTGCTTTATTGCTGCCCTTCTCTGACTTTGCTTCCCACTGACTCTGTAATTTTCTGTTAAAATATAACAGAAGGGCTGTGCATTTTAATCCTGTGTAATTGCAGCCCTCATCACCTCATCCATCCCATGCATCCCACCTCCACCTGCCCCTGCAGAAACGCATCAGCGTGCTATTACACGAGGAGGCTGTGAGGGGCTCTTGTCCTTTCCTCCATCCCCTCATTATTTTTAGAGCTTGAGGTTCCTTACCTCCACCTAGTGCAGGCAGGGGCCCTGAGAGCCACCCCCAGAGCAGGTATGACTCAGCCATGCAGTTTCAGGGCTCTTTGTGCAGTTTGGAGGAGGATGAGTCACAGAAGGCGAAGGCAGAGGCTCAGCTGGCAGGATCAGCGTGCTGAAGGTCCATGGCTTCCTACAGCAATCCCACCCCTGGCACTGGCTGTGCACTGTGGATGTTGGGCAACTGATCAGAGAGGTACAAATTATCATCAAGTCAGCTGTGATTGAGAGAATTTTTAAAAAGGAAAGAAGTTCCTTCTTTATCAGAAGGTTTGGGGAAAATGGTTCTCTGTTAACACAACCTTTGTCAGCTTTCTGCAGCAGGGGCACGGGGTGTTTCCACAAACCTGCACACCAACATGTAGCCCAGTAGTTCTAAAGTAACATTTTTTAGTCACTGAAAACCAGTGAAACAGGAGTTGCCCTCATCAGCGCTTATGTAGGAGATGATATTTATTTTTCTTGTCCTAGATATCAAGCAAAGAAGTGTCAATAATTGTCTCCCGGAGGCATTTTTCTACCCTGCTTCTACAGAGACCCTATCAAACAAAAGACAACTACCAATTGTTTTGTATTCCTTTGGACTCAACTCACTATACAGGAGATGTATGATGACTCAGACAGCTTGGATGCACTGCCCCTAAATCAGCAATGAGAACCAATTGTTCTTTGCTAACATAGAAGCAGACTACTCACCAGTTGGTTGTCCGATAGAACTTTGGCTCCTGATGGGGAATGGTCTCAGTCTTGTGCTGAACTAAATCCCAAGAGATTTGGACACATAACAAGTACAAGGATGGAGCAGAACTGCTGAATACTGATGCTGTACAGTTAATGAGTCTGTAAGCAAATTAAGCCATTTTGGCCTCCTGATAAACATACACTATTGGGTTGAACAAGCAATAGGCACGTACCAAAAGCCACCTTTTTCATGGTGACAATGCTGAAAGTCATTTCCTGGTGCTTTTTGAGCAGAAAGGCTGCTATGCTAGTAGATACCTTCTCCATAACATCTTTATTCCTAAGGGAAAGATAGATTTGGAAAAAGAAAACGTTTTAGCTGTTACTCAAGTTTTGACCAAAGGCTCTGCACCAGCCATTAAAAACTTTACAGGAAAACACTGTAAGCATAATTGTTGGCTTTTTGAGCAAGAGTAAAAGTTTAAAACTCATGGCACAGCGCGAGTAAAAACAAACCAAGAGCAGTCCTGCTGTCAAGTGTCCAGAGTATGCAGGAGACCAGCGAGAGCCCATGGCCAAGGCGTTGCATTGCTGGCAGATCTCTCGTGCTGGGTCTGTAAATTCTTGTCCAAAGCCCAGAACAATCGAGGCGCTCCTATTGAGTTCCTTGACCTTGGGATTAGGCAGGATGTAAAACAGGAGGACACGGACAGCAATAACATGTTTTGGAAAAGTTATGCAAATGATGTTAAAGTACACAGTTTAAAATATTAGCTCTGGCAGAAGACGACTGCTGAAGTTTCAGTCAAGGGGAACAAATACTCAATAAATTAAAAACTCAAGATTTGGCTTTGAAACAATTGCTTTGTAAGCAAATGTTCCCTTTTGTGGTCTGCATGAAATGTACTCGGGGAAGTGATCTGGGGGCAGATACTGCCATCATCAAATCCACCTGAAGAAATAGCTTGAACTTGCACTTCTGTTGCCATCCAGGAGCTTGACAGAGGGCTGACAACTCTCTCTATCCTTTTCCACATAACAGAGATCTTCCTAGAGCAGAGCTGTGACCCATTTGTGGCTGCAGGAGAAAAACTGCATCACTGCTGCCAGGTCAGAGCCCCTTGGTGCCAGCCCAGCAGCTACTGTGAGCAGGGGTTGGCTTACATTGTACAACAGAAGCCCAGTCCACGGTGGGATATGTATATTTTTTAAACTAATACTGTAAATATGCATATCTTCAATGTTTTCAAAACAAAGTCTAGATCACATAACACTGTATTCTGTGATGATTTCAATTATCTGGTAAATCTGCTGTGCTTTTATCCACAATGGATTCCTCTCCCTGAAAGGAGAAAAGAGGTCAGAAGCAGCAAGAAGGAGCTGGCAAAAAAAAAAAAAGTCAGTTATTTGGCAGAACAAGGAATACTTAGTGGCAAGGACCATGTTTATATAATGAAATTAATAAAATGGGACCAGTCAGATGTGTATTGCTGCTGAGAAGGAGAGTGGCAACTGGAGTTGCTCTGGATGCTGCTGTTGTTGCTCCCTTGGCTGTCGCAGCCAAACACCTCATGTTGTGTTCATCTTCTGAATGCTGATATATGTACATAAATCCCCATCTTACAAAGGGAGGAGCAAGACAACAGGGTTTTAAATGAATTGCTTTAGTCTGAGGGTGGCATGAGCATCTGGATGGGGAACAAATCTGCTGGCTCTGGCTGTCCTTCCCATCCCTTCAGTACAGGTTCTCCCTGTACAGGCTGAAGCACAAATCCCCACTGCATTTTCAAGAACGCAGGAATTGGATATGGCATTGGTCATTTCTTGCCAAGAGCTGAGGAAGAGGCAGAGCTCCTCTGTGGCTCAGATGCAGCAAAGCCCCAAGTTCCCTCATTGCTGCCCTGTGCAGCAATCAGCTCAATACTGAGTGCATCGAGCCAGCTGCGTGCATTTCACATCAATGGTCACAGTCCATCCATCCTACTCTGTCAGAGCTGCTTCTTCCTCTTTGTGTGCTTAATCCCTCATAGGTAATGTGGTGGATATTACAAAAGTTATGCATCAAGAAAGAATCATAACTGGAAAACTTTGCAAATTCAGACTTCCCAAAGATTGTAAAATCTCAGAACTCAGAAGCCCTGGCTCACTTTTCACATTTGGCTGCAATGTTTCCCTGATTAAAGGCCAAGCACAGCCACAGACGTATTGCCCAGGTGGGACCTGGGTTCTACCTACAAACTCCAGAGCCTGGAATCACACTGCCCAAGAAGGAGGTGAGTCCCCAGTGCTGCTTCTGTTCTGGGAGCCATCCATGAAACACTTTTGGCCTGTGCCACTGGTATAATCCATTGGGGTCAGAGACCTGCCTGTGGGCAATGTGCACGCAGCCTTTGTTTTACAGGTTGAGAACTAATGGTTATGGCCATGAGTTATCAGATGCCAGCTGGCCACTATCTGAAGGACAGTCCCAAGCATATTTAATTTATTAGCAGAGAGAAACCCTAATTGAATTGACAGTCTGCTTATTGGGAACTGGGGATTCTTTCAAGATCTGATCATTTAATGACAGTGAATCTCTGCCTCAGTGAAAACTTCTGGATTTGACCCAAAGTAAATTAGTCAAAAAGCATAGCAAAAAATGTGCCCAACAAACCTCCTACAGATTCTGAGCTGCGTATGAAGGGCTATGGAGGCAGCCTCTGTATTGTCCTCTTCCTTGTGGTCTTCCAGAGGATACACTGAGCAAATACCATGGGAAAAAAAGGAAATACTTTTGCCAACAGAAAAGCCACAGATAGTGGCAAAAGGGCAACCCTGCTAACAAGTTTGTGGATGGTATGTTCTGCCTTGGGCAGAAACTGCTGAGCATTATGTATAGTGCTTAAACTTGATTATTTCATGTTGTGCAACTCTAATCACTTCTGAGTGTTAATGTATGCAAATTAGGAACAGGATTAAAATTATAATTGGGAGTGAAATGTGGTCTTTCTGATGAAGCATAAAATTAGCTGTGTCTCAGCAAAAACCCAGCTGAACTGTGTATAGATAGGAGCTTCTTCCAGAGCTGGGGCATTGAATGATTTAGTTCAAATTTAATTAAAAAAAAAAAAGAATAAGATACTTCCAATACGTTCAGCTGTGTGTGGTGTTTAGAGAGCTGCTAAGGCACTGGGTAAGAACCCACTCTGTTTTATTCTGTATGGATCAATGAGTCCATCTTTGCTTCAGAGAAGCTGTGTGTCGTCATTGCATTTTCAGAGAAAAAAGGGGAGTTGTGGGGAAGTGTCAAAGATGGTAAGCATCACAGGAACGACGCACGTTGCATTTCATTCAAAATGACCTTCACATTAACTTTTAGCAGATAGGGTCTGACCAGAATAATGAATCAAAACTGAGTCACTAAGCACTAGTTCTTGCTGCCTGAATCACTCTGTGAGTCATGTTTCATCCAAGATATCTCTGTGGGAATTTGGGGAGTTCCTGTTAATACGGGACAGCTGCCTGGGCCAGGTGAGACGATGGGACTCTGGGACGTGCTACTGACAAAGGGGCCTCAAAGTAGATGGGAACATACAGGCAGCCATGCCTCACTGTGTTCTAGTGAGAAGCCATCCTACGTCTGTCCCTTGGCCAAGAGACACAGAGGAACATGGCTGAGAACAGCACCTGGGACAAGCTGTATTGAAGTCCATCTATCAACCGCCAGCAATGCCCTGCTGGAGGACCACGAACTACAGGGCTGACCTCTTCCAAACACTCAGATAATTGTAAGTTTCATTTCCACTGCTCTCAGCAAGTTGCCAGCTGAGCATACTTATAACCTGCAACAGGTCTGTTAATTCCTTCTTTTGTGGATGTGCTGTAACTCAGCATGGGATGATGAGATGTAGTCTGGGAAGAGCGTGTGCCAACAGCATTAGTGCATGCTGATCAGCTATTGTAGGGAACGGGTAGTTTTCACAATGGGGTTTGCAATTTTATACTAAAATGTAATGTCTAGAAAATTAGTGGTTTGCTGTTTTAATCTGAGTATTCCAAGCAGGTAAGGTTAACATTGTAAAGATTGGTAAGTTTGAGCTGTTAGGTAGATGAATGTGTTATGGACAGCTGGAAGAAGCTTGCAGGGTGCATCCAGGGTCTGATCAGAGTCCTGTGGTGGGTTGCACACATTTCCTGGCATCCTCGTCCTCTTCCAAACACAAAGTATATCCTATTCCTTTCTTTTCAGTTTGGAATGTTTTGTGAGTTCAAAGCTGTGTTCAGGTGGATGTCTGAGCTGACATCTTCCATGCACATCATTTGCTTTGGCACTAGGTTTAACCCACAGCTCAGGCTACAGTGAGGAACAGACACACTGACTTAAGGAGAACAGCAGTTGGTGCAAATCCAAAGCCCTTGCAAGGAGCAGATGAGTAGCCCACTGCCTATTCTGCAGTCTCAGCATCATTAAAGCTCCATGGTAGCATCTAAACCTGCTCCAAATAACCTAAAATCAACATATTTGTTAGATGAGACAAGGGTGTTGGCTGAGGTTATAGCTTTGTTTAATGGATACTCTCTTGTCTTCCAGTTCTTTGTTTTCTTTTCATCAACAGATAACCAGCTCTTTCAAAGGGTGGGGGATACCTGCCAGGCATAGCATGCTTGGTTTACTTTCCTTCTGTGTAATCACGTCTGTCCTCATTTTTCATTAAAATTTATTTCCATTTCATCTTCCTAAAAACAAATGCATATCTTTAAAGATGCGCCAAGACAACACAGAGAACCCCACAAGGCCACAGTGATGTCACATATGGACCTCATTGGCTATTTGCAATAGAAATATCCAAGCAGCAGTAAATTATCTTTCCAGGGGCTGAGCTGGGCTTCCAGGGACTGGCAAGCTTCTAGCTGCATGTTGCCAGCCCTGTCTGACCTGTGCCTTCAGGTTTTAATTGCTGCTCCACGTCATACCTAGCTGCCCACAGTATTTAATGCCAACTGATGGAACTGAGCTCCTTGGGGATTTTAGAGAAAGGTTCCCAGTAATAAAGGCTGATGAATAAGTTTGCAGTGTGACCCTACAGTGGATCTTCATGGGTCAAGTCTTACTTCTAAGAGGGTGGGCGGCTCTGCTCGTCTCCATGGACAACTGCTAGAAAGCTCAGAGTAAAGAGTAAGGACTGCCTTATCTGCATTTAAATGCTTTTTTGCTTTATTCCCCATGGGAGGAGTTGGGGATTGCCAGAATTTGGGCAATAAACGTTATAATAACTGCTGGGACATGGTGTCTCGAAGTAGGGATGAGGAAGTTGTCTTGTAGTTAGTACAAATAAAGTCCTCTTCCCTCTGTCTCTAACTATGGAGGAGAAAAGAAGCAGCAGAGTAAGGCCAACGGCTAAGAACAACATTGGATTGAACATTCCCAGTATTTCCAAACAAGAACACTTCCCCTAGCAGCCACTCAAACTGATGTTAATTAGAAACAAGGATTCTAAATGACAAGTAAGAACGTGTTTAATTTGAGAAGAGCTTTCAGCATCTTCAGTCTATTGGAAACCAGACAGAAGCGCTGTGATATTGAGATCATAAAATTGAGATCATAGAACTCAGATCACAGGATTATTAAGGTTGGAGAAAGTGCCTAAGATCCCCAAGTACAACTCAAACCCATCCCACCATGTCCACTGTGACTCAGTGCCACATCCCCGCGGTCTTTGAACACCTCCAGGGGCAGTGACTCCACCACTCCCTAGGCAGCCTGTGCCAATGCCTGACCACTCAGGAAGAAATTTTTCCTTATATCCAACCAGAACCTCCCCTGGCGTTACTTAAGGCCATCATCTTATACCCTACATACTGATGCCTTGCTGGTAGCAGTTGATGAAGATGGCAAAGCCACCATCTAACTGAGGAGAAGCCACAGCTCCCTGCTCACCTGGCCAGGTCCTTTTGCAGCCCATGCCCTGTGCTCCCAACCCCACTCTCCTCCGTGATCCTACAACTCTGACCGGGACCAGGCTGCAGCCCTTACTCACCCAGTACATTATGTCTTCTCTTGAAGGCTGCCTCTCTAGAAAATAAACCAGGCCATTCACGCCAGCCCTCTGGCACCGGCCCCGAATGCAAATCCCAGGTTGCACAGCTTGCCCTGCTCTGCCTTGCATGCTTTGCACTGGGAGGTTTTTGTGCACGGGGACAAGTCCCCACTTTGTGCTGGACAAACAGTGACAGCTTTCTTTCTTGTTTGTTCAGTCTCAAAGACCCTCAGCATCCTGGTTTGAATTGAGTATTGTGGTTCCTCCCTGGCAGAAATGTAAATAACAAAGAAATTTCATGTATTTTAATTACCTGAAGGCGGCTGTTTTAATCGGGTGAATCCTCTCATGTGGTAAAAGTGACGTTGCTATGGAAACTATATCTGCCAGGAGAGGTGACACCAGCCTGCACACTGCCAGAGAGAGAAGTGGTGATGGGATGGCTGAGCCACTTGGCACAGCCCAGACCTCACAGTGGGAGCTCAGCCCACTGTTGCATCTTTGTATTTATGTTTTTGTGTAAGGCATGGATCTACCTAGGTAGGCCCCCTCCAACTGCACAAAGTGTTTGGAGCAGATATTTACCAAAAATACACAGAGTGTTCCCTGAACACTGATGGAGAACAAATGGTGGATGTGAGCACAGTGGGGCAGTGAGTGGAGTGTTTCAGCAGTGGTAATGGTAGCAGTGGTCACCTCTGCTGGTGAAAATATACAGCTAATGGTGGTGACTGTGTTGAAAAACAGTGTTTTGTAGCTGAGAATTTGCTCTATCAAATAGTGCTATTGTGCTCTTTGTATCTGTTGTCATTTCCAAGGAAATAAATAGGAGGCATTATGTTTGGAGCAACCAATATAATAAAGTGACTGGTGGGGCAGCAGCTCCAGCCTGGGCTGGGCTGAGCAGCTTGGGTGTTTTGCAACCATATACGGCCTTGACACTTTGTCTGGAATGTCACAAAACCACAGACAGCTTTGTCTGTTGCAGTGTTACAGCAGACCTGAGAAATCATTTCTCTGGGTGTTGGTGGCACTGAGCAGGGCAGAGCCCTGGGGTGGCCGTGCTGCTGCCCAGGGGACACACAGGCTTCCCTGGCCGCAGTTCGGCGTGTGGTTCAGAGCTGTGTTGTGGAAGGGTTTATTCATTTACTGAGCGGATGTGCTGATAAGAGCCCTGTGATAACTGCCAATAAAGCTATAATGACAATATGTTTCAATATATCAGCAAATACTCCTTTCTATGAAACCTTTTCCCCTTTTCTCTTCTGTAGATTAAAAGGAACTGCCTGGAAGGATGCTTTTCATTTCAGTTTACGCAAGCACACAACATATGGCAGGTATCTGTCACACTTGAGGATGGGTTTACCAGGACCCAACTTTCCTTAGAGGCACCACTGGAGCCCTGAGTGTTGATCAAGACCACTATGGAGAAAGGATGGTTATTTCAACCAACACCATCAATGTGCTGACAGAACGTGAATGCAACAGTTACCTTTAATATAGGGCAAGGTCTGGTTTGTTATAACTGATATTACAACCGATATGCAGCTAGTATTGTCCTACAAGCTTGACTTGTATGAAGGGGACATCAACAAGAAAGAAAACAACATTGAGGACTATTAGCTGCTGCCCATGCCATGCAGGCAATCGCCCAATTCCATTTCTGAGATGGAGAGCTGTGCAGAAGAAA